TGGCTAAGAATACTGAACATGATTTCATATGAATATTCACCATTTGTACTTCATCTTTTAAGAATGTCTCTTTGTGGGCTGGAGAGATGGCTCAGAGGTTAAAAGCCCTGGATGCTCTTCCAGAGGTCCTGAATTCAACTCCCAGCAATTACCTGGTGGCTCATGGTCATCTATAATGAGATCTGGTCTTCTGGTATGTGAATACATAATAAATAAAGAAATATTTAAAAAGAGGAAGGAATGAAGGGAGAAAGAGAAGAAAAAGGAAGGAAGGGAGAGAAAGAAAGAAAGAGAGAGAGAGAAAGAAAGAAAGAAAAGAGAAAGAAAGAAAGAAAGAAAGAAAGAAAGAAAGAAAGAAAAAAAAAAGAAAGAAAATGTCTCTTTGATTGCCTGTGTAGACTGGAGCCAGGTGGGGATGGGAACATGAGAGATCCGGTTGAAAGTTGAGGTGGTTGGAAGAAGAGGGTAATGAAAGAGATGATTGACGAAGGGTGTATTTCTGGGTCAGGTAGAAACCTGATGCATTTGATCCCCAGAACCCGAAAAATGTTGTCCTCTGAATCCATATCTATGCTGTGGCACACATGTACTTCCCCACACATACATACATCATATACATATACATTTATGAATACATACACTAATAAATAAGTAAGAAAGGGATTGGAGATATAAGTCAGTTCCTAAAATGTTTTCTTAACATGCATTAAGCCTTGGGTTCAGTCCCCAGCACAGCATAAACAGAACCCAATCTTGGGGAGTAGAAACAGGGGAATCAAAGCTCAAGGTCATTTTTGGCTACACAGCCAATGCAAGGCCAGCCTGAACTATACGAGATTCTCAAATTATGTATAAATAAATGAAAATAAAAAGTTTCACTTGCACAAATAAAAACACACTTCCAGGAAGAAACTCCATCAATACTTGATGAAATTAAACCTAACCACCAGTGAGATCTGTGTTACTTGATGACTTAAATACCTTAGCTTAAAAGCAAGAAGTGGGTCTTGCCTCTTCCAACAAATGACTCTGCACAATGAATGTAAATTGCAGTGTCATTCTTGAACAATAAAGACCTTCACAATTTTTTGTGATACAAGTGTGTAAGCTCACATTAGGAGAAACATTCAAGCAACTATAGAATTGTTGGAGCAATCCAAGAAAGGCTATCACAACATGCTCACTGAAACTACTTTCAGATTACAGCAATTTAATTTTTTTTCTATGTAACTGTCAAAAATGTGTTCTAGTTTTCAGCCTTGACACATGGCACTGATATGTGAATTACACATTACATTCACACATAAACGTTAGGGAAACTTCCCTTGTTTGACTGTGTTTGAAGGCTCTGTTTCATTTCTATAGGATATCAGCTTGATTGATGCTGTAAAATGCGTTTTCCATTTATCTTCTTTGCCATGAAGGATTTTCATATCTGTGTGTGCTCCCTTTCCCTCAGCATATGAAGAGATAAGCATTTATTGAAGAATATCATTTGTTGTATGCATTTTGGAGCCTCACATTAGACATTTGAATTAAATACACCCCAAGTCTTCTTACAATTTACTTGTAAATTTATTATAGTTAGAAAACAATTTGTAGGGAAATCCAAAATTAAACTGGTTTAACAGGCCATTAATCTTCAGTAATAAATAGGAGACAAAAAGCTGCACATAGTTAGGCTCTGGTATTCACACATCTCTCAATACTGACCCAACCTGCTTCCTTCATCTTCCTGCCTCAGAGAAGCAGTGAAAATATTTTCCCACTAACAAAAAAGTTAGGTAATATATCCCAAAGGAAAGAAGGAAGAAGGAAGGAAGGAAGGAAGGAAGGAAGGAAGGAAGGAAGGAAGGAAGAAAGGAAGGAAGGAAGGAAGGAAGAAAGGAAAAAGAAAGACAGCCAGGCAGTGGTGGTGCATGACTTTAATCCCAGTACTTGAGAGGCAGAAGCAGGTGAATCTTTGTGAGTTAAAACCAGCCTTGTCTACAGATTGAGTTCCAGGAAAGGACAGCCAGAGATACACAGAGAAACCCTGTCTTGAAGAAAGCTAAATAGGAGCTGAAGAGTGGTTAAGGGCACTGGCTGCTCTTCCAGAGGACCGGGTTTCAATTTCCAGCACCCACATGGCTCACAACTGTCTGTAATTCTAGTTCCAGGGAACCTGACAGTCATGGCAAATGACCAATGCATATAAAATAAAATATAAATAAAGCTAAATAAATAGAAGGGAAAATAAATAAATAAATCATCCTTTATGTAGAAAACACCTAAGAATTAGTGTAATAGACATTTTTTAGATTTTTCTTATTTGTTTCAGTGCATGTGTGGGTGTAGAGATCAGAGTAGGACTTGTGGGAGTTGACCTCTCCTTTCACATTTAGGTTCGCAGGCCTGGAACTCAAATCATCAGGCTCAGCGAAGCACCTTTACCCACAGAGCCATCTCGACACCCTAACTCACATGATGGCTTTAGCAGTGCTGGACAGCAGTTGAACAGGACACAAAAGATAGATGATGTGAAGATAAATCAAGGAAAGACTGAGTAGGAAGTGAGTTTATAAATTGTCTGCCTAACCACTCTGCTCGTTACAATCAAATAAGAAAGAAAAAGACATAAAGGGAGAGAGGGAGATGTGAGGTTGGAAGAAAAAGGGGGAGAAAGGGGCATTTTATATCCTAGGCCAGCAGTTCTCAACCTGTGGGTCATGACCCATCTGGAGGTCAAATGACCCTTTTACAGGGGTGGCGTATCAGATATTTACATTATGTCATAACGGTAGCAAAATTACAGTTATGAAGTAGCAATGAAAATCATTTTATGGCTGGTGGTCACCACAACATAAGGAACTGTATTAAAGGGTGGCACCATTAGGAAGGTTGAGAACCACTGCCCTGTCCTTAGCTGTAATATTTTGTGGTTGATACTGTTTCTGCCAGTCTGTTTTAAATTCAGTTATTGGATTAAGCCAATTAATTAATCCAGCCCAGTACTCAAGAGAAAGGGAACCAGGTTCCCCATCTTGAAGGCATAGGGATGTTGGCATGAGGGGGTTCCTGAAGGGAAATGATCCTCTAAGAGGTGAGAATAAAAACTAGGTTCAGCCCAACTAAGTCTACCAGGCTGGATCAAACTTCTAGAAAATCTGATGCCAGGCAGTTTAATAAACTGCCAGAATATTTAAACACAATGTAATTTGGGGGGGGGAAGCTTCCTGGTGTAAAACAATCCCCAGTGTTCAATTCCACAAGGAGGCAATAATTACATCAAAAGGTAACTCAAAGTACACGTCATTTCTTAAGAAGATGGGTTCTAGAGAAGCTATTTGTACTACCTTAAGGTCCTAAGGAATGATGTAGCCTAATCTAGATCACACAGAAAGCACAGAAGTCATTTGGGATATTAGCCTGGTCCTGGTTGTGATAGCTTGGGGGAGCTCCTGGCTGTTCAGGTAATATAAAGGTCATTTAGATTTTCAGCACCTCTGCTCCTGGTTGTAGGAGCTTGGTAAGACCTGGCCCCCCCAAAAATATCGAAGATCACCAAGGTTATTAATCACCTCTAACTCACAGCCTTCTGTGAAAAGAATTTATGTATTGTTCCTGGCTGCTTAACATCCCTGGTTCCCGAGAAATCTGTGGGCACAGGGACCTTTGTGATCCCAACATCATTCCATATTCTATTCTTGCATAGTACTGTTGTGCAGGAGTCCTATCTTAGCTCTCTTATTTTACCCTACTCAGTCTACCCTGAGTGAGCTCAACTACTCCCAGAAGTTCTATTGACACCTACATAACAGATGGATCTAAAATTATCTTTACCCTAGCCTCTCTCTGTGAGCCCATATTTAAATTTTCAAGTGTATATCACAAATCTCTACCCAGAAAGCCATCATGGCCTATCCAAAACCAATTTTTTGTTTTCCTCTCGCCATGTCTCTACTGCTCTAAATCTTCAGCCCTGTTATCCACACAAACTCCTTCTCAGTTCCTGTCCTTCTTAACTCTCATAGACTTTGACATAGATTTATCCTGATTATTTATATGTCCTAAATAACTCAATTGAGTCCCTTATCTCAGTCATTACTATCTATCTGTACAGGCTGTCATTCATCTCCAACTCTACAGCAGTAACATAAAAATTGATTTCACTGTCTAGTCTCACACCATTCTAATTTATCTTTTGTCAGGTTTATCTTGGTTAAAATATGGATCTTAGCTCATATATCTCTATAAAAGCCTTGAATGGCTCACTAATAACTTCATTTTAAAGCCCAAGCTTTTTAAGGTCATTATATAAGACTAAAAAAAATAAATCTATCCTAATGTGTTTCAGCTGAATCGCCTATCACTGTCTCAACATTTCTTTAGCAAACCACAGTCATTACCTGAAAATACCAGGTACTTTTACACAGACACACATGTCACATGTACTTCCTCTGCCTGAAGACCCCATACTCTCTGCCCTGCATAGAAAACTCTTGTTCCCATGGTTTGAAAAGGCCATTTTCTGAAAATCTAACTTCACTGGATGAAAAGTCATTTCACTTCCTGTACCCCACAACATTTGTCATACACTGATAGTATTTGTCTGACACCTGTATGTTGTGAATACTTTTAGGACTGTTTCAATTTCAAATTTCCTATCTTAGCCTTCTCATAAGGAGATGAAAAATGAGAGTAAAGACAGGGAGGTAACCACAGCTTAATGGTTACAAACCCCTGTTGCTTTCCCAAAACCCCAGAGTGTGGTTCCCAGGACCTCACAGGTCAGTTCACAGTCACCTATAGCTCTAGCCAGGGGGTGCAAAGTTCTCGTCTGGTCACTGCAGGCAGACACATACTCATACACCACACACACACACACACACACACACACACACACACACACACACACACCATAAGTTTGTCAGGTTCTTAGGTTTTTATTGCTATGAAGAGACACCATGACCACTGCAACTCTTATAAATGAAACCATTTCACTGAGGTGGCTCACTTACACTTTCAGAGGTCAGTCCATTATGATCATGCAGGAGAGCATGAAGGCGTGCAGACAGATGTGTTGCTGGAGCTGAGAATGCTACATGGTTCAGGCAACAGGAAGTCACACCCAGGGAAGCTCACCCCCACAGCTCCTCCAGCAAGACCACACCTCCTAATAGTGCCACTCCCTTGGCTCTTTCAAACCACATCAGGCCACATTTTCTACTTTTATTTCAGAAAATACAAGTGCTGGGGGTTAAGTGTCATTTCAAAGTTAGAGAACAAATAAATAGCTTGGTGGTAACATTAATACCTTTTCCACACTGACCATTTCCCCATTTTCTACAATTCCCAAAATACTGTTACAAGTCTATATCTCATAGTAAGCTGTAATCAGGCCAGGCATTGGTGGCTTATGCCTTTAATCCCAGCACTCGGGAGGCAGAAGCAGGCAGGTCTCTGTGAGTTCAAGGCCAGCCTGGTCTACAGAGCTAGCTCCAGTACAGTCTCCAAAACAATACAGAGAAACCCTGTCTCAAAAACAAAAAACAAAACAAAAAGTGTAATCAGGAAAACTAGAAAAAAAAGAGCCTACAAATGTATGCATCGACATGGAGACTTTCATCCTCAGAGGTACTCTCTATTGCATAATTTTGTTGTGAACTTGAGGCACTGAGTGACAGTCATACATCCCATGATAACCAGGAAGTTCTCCAGATGAGTCTGGGTGCTCCTTCCATCTTGGCACAGAAGCTTTTCATCAAATCCATCTCCACTAGTAAAACTACATATAAAAGTAGATGTACTACTGAGCAAGGAAGGAATTTTAGCACTCAGGCACCATTCATGTTTGTTTTGGTTGTGAGCCTGGGTTTTAACTGCTGAGTCATCTGCCTGGCCCAGCATCATTCATTTGTTGTTACTGTTTATTTTATTTGTTTTGGTTTCTTTCTTTTTTTCTTTTTCTTTTTTTGAGATGTTGCTGTTGTCATTGTTGTTGTTTTGAGACAGGGTTTCTCTGTGTAGTTCTGGAGCTTACTATGTACACCAGACTGACTTCAAACTCACAGAGATCCTCCTGACTCTGCCCTCAAGGACTGGGATGAAAGGTGAGCACCACCATGTCTGGCCACAGCATTCTTTTTTTTTTTTTTTAAGATTTATTGTGTTTATAGTCTTCTGACTGCATGTATGCCTGCCTGCCAGAAGAGGGCACCAGATCTCATTACAGACAGTTGTGAGCCACCATGTGCTTGCTGGGAACTGAACTCAGGACCTCTGGAAGAACAGTCAGTGTTCTTAACCTCTGAGCCATGTCTCTAGCCCAACATTCATTTTTATAAACACGTTTACTGAGCTCTTACAGGCAAGGTGCAGTAGGTACTATCACTAAGAGGTAAACATCAGGTTTTATTTACCATAATCTCACAGTTCAAGTAAGCGACGCGGCCCTGAGATAAGACTGTGAGATGGAAAGCAGATGTCTGAATCAGTGAGGAGGACAGCATTGTGGTTCACAATAATCGACTTGTGTAAGGCCCCCAATTCCACCCAGAATTGATAGGGATAGCTATGAATTGACTGGGTTCAGAGGTTGAAGAATAAAACTGTTCGTTGAAGCTTCTAGTTATGGTACCTAGAGAGAATAGAGACCTTTCTTTCTTTGTTTGTTTCTTTTTACTTGGTCATATATGTAAGACTATGAAAAGTTCTTAGGCATGAGACAGTAATGGGTGGTGTGTGAAGATGGGAAACAGGAAAAGTTGGTCTCAAGTGGGGACTATCAATTGAAGGGACAGAAGCTAAAAATCATTCACTACTGTGCTAAGGAAAGTGCAGACTCCTTGCATTGAATGCAAGAGGACATGGGAAACCACCGGAAAGCTATTACTAGGGAAATGACAAGATTGATGGGGATCATGAGAAATGGTTCAAGCTTCAGTGAAGCAAAAATATATTTGGAAATTGTACAACTCGATTTCCTGACAAATGCCATAATAGCTATTATAATAGTAGCAAGAAGTATTTCAAATAGAAACAGATAAGTCATCCACTTAGGAAAATTTTATGTCACTATAGGTTGCAGTGAAGGGTTACAGTACAGAAACTCAAACTGACAAGCTAAAAGAGATTTTACATGCTCTACTGAAATACTGGCAAGTCTTTTGTCATAGTTTATTTTGGAAGGGGAAAGGAGACTGCCTGAATGTCAGAGTATTTTGAAGCATTAAATATTTAAATAAAAACATTTCCTAATAGACACCATCTCAAATCATTTGTCAGCAATTTATATGGTTGGTTATATTAGTCTTATCTTTACCAAAATAATTTAAATAAAATCGCCTCTGCTCACCATAATAGCAACACCTATACTATAGTTCTATCCCTTATCAAAGTATTACTTTGCTAGGGTTTCCAGAACAGAGTACAATAGATTTGTTACTTAAACAATATGAAGGTTGCAAAAGATGAAGAGTAAGGTATCATGTAGCCCAGACTGGCCTTGAATACACAGAAGCCAAAGATGACCTTAAACGTCTGATTCTTTTGTCTCCTCCTCCCAAATGCTGGGATCACAGGCATGTATCACCATGCCTGATTTGTGGGGTACTGGAGATTAACCCCAAAGCTGTGGGCATGTGAGACAACCACTCTGTCAACAGAGCTATAGCATCATCTCTGTGTTTGGTTTCTTCTAAGGCAGTGGTTCTCAGCCTTCCTAAAGCTGCAACAGTTCCTCATGTCATAGTGACCTCAACCATAAAATCATCTTCCTGCTACTTCGTAACTGTAATTGTGCTGTGGTTATGAACTGTACTGGAAACATCTGATATGAAGGATATCTGATAAGCAACCCCTGAGGAAGGGTCACTCGACCCCCAACTGGGTCATGATCTAAACCTGTCTTTGGCTAAGATAGCAGCTTCCGGCTATGTCTTCATGTGCTCTTTCTTGCTTCTTTACACAGAGATAGTCTCTTACAACAGGCCTGGTGACACAAACATGCAATTCCAGCTACTTGGGAGACTCGGGTAGGAAGAAGGTAAATTCAAAGCCAGCCCAGTCTATAAAGTTCAAGGCCAATGTGAGCAACTTAGGGAGACCTTATCTCAAAAAAAAATTAACTCAAATTTTCTTTTTTTGATTGGATTAGGGTGTACCCTGTAAACCTCATTGTAACTTAACTCCTTTCTTAACCACTGAGACATCTCTCCAGTCCCTTCACTGCTCTCTCTATAATGCCCTATCTCCAATTAGAGTCACATTCTGAACTAGCAGAGTTCGTGGGAATTATTAATTTGGGGAACACAATTCAGTCCATAATAAATTTGGGGTTATAAACAACTAAAATCAATTCTAATTTCCACATAAGAGGAATGTATTGGGACTAATTGGCCACAGTCTAGAATTAGCAAGGTTTAGTTAGAGGCCAAGAGCAACAGTAGTGGTGGCACAGGCCTTTAATCCTAGCTCTACGAACGCAAAGGCAAGCAGAGGCTGGTAGATCTCTGTGAGTTGGAGGTCAGCCTGGTCTACAGAGCGAGTTCCAGAACAGCCACAGCTACACAGAGAAACCCTGTCTCGAAAAAAAAAAAAAAAAAACATACAAACAACAAAAGAACAGCCTCAACCTTCTCCACAGAGTGCTGCAGTATTTGGGTTAGCATTGCAGATCTGTAGTGGCACATACCTTTAATCCCAACATTCAGGAGGCAGAGGCAAGTAGTTCTGAGTTTTAGGACAACCATGTCTACAGAGTGAGTTCCAGAACAGCCAGGGCCACACAAAGAAACCCTGTCTCAAACAAACATACCAATAACCCACAAACAAAAGAAACCAAGAACAGCATGGAGAGGTAATAGTGAACTACAACTCTTCAGCTATGATTGTAGAGAGTCTAAATTGTTCTAGATTCCTATATTTATATTGTACTGATTGCCAATAAAAATACTCAAAAATCAAAGGCACTAAATGAGTCACTAAAAAGGAAGATATTAAGATCACCACTAAAAAAATAAGTAACACAGAAAGTAAACTGTCAGTGTCCCAAGAAAGCCCATGTTGACTTGGGTGACACTCCTGGGGGAGTGGGACACATAAAGGGAGGAGGGAAGTCAGGTCGTTGGGGCGAACCTTTAAAGTGAATATTAGGATCCTTGCCCCCAAGCGTCTCTCTTTGCTTCCACTGCCACCAGGTGAACAAGCCACCAGGATTGTGCCACCACCTGCACAAAGCAGCAGTTTTCTCCTTATGAAAAATATTGAAAAATGACTAACTCTTCTCTGGAAGAATGATTCTTACCTTAGTCAAGGCCAGTAAAACAATAACTACGCAAAAGAACAGCCGTTCATTGTGTATTAAGTGTGTATTTTGGTTGTGAAAATACTAATAGACTCATTTTTATTTCAAGGACAAGTCGTAATTTTGCACTAGAATACAACAGAAATATAGGCCCTAAAGCAAGACTGTCCGGGCTGAAATCCTTGTCTCAGACCTTACCCTAAATTTAGGCAGCTTGTGTGTGTGTGTGTTTCAAGAGCTAATAGTTAACCATTCGTACCTGGTGTAGCTGTAATGAGTGAAATCGTGTGCTTAAACTGGGCTTACTTAGCCCACACTGATAAACTTTCCCATAGTAAAATGGTGATTTTCGGGAATCGTTAAAGCATTCCCGCAAAACCTAAAATTAATACAGGACTTCAAACGAGATTAAAGGCTCTATCCACTTCTGCCGATCTCCAAACGAAACTCTTAGGTCTTCACACAGTTTCACACTGGAAGGTGCTGCATTCCAACCCTGTCCCTCCGGGGTCAGGAAAGTAGTTCAGAATCGCTGAGCTACCTCGTTATCTCCCAGATTGGTACTATGGAGTCCCAACCAGATCTAGAACTATCTAGCTCAGGGGTCCACACAGGTAACACTCCCGTAACACTCGCCGAGGCAATGACGGAGCGAGCCCAGCAATCCCCGAGCGCCACCAACCGAGATGTCCCGCGCTCCGCCTTTTCTCGTTCCCACGTCTCACCCACGCCCCCTCCCGGCCGGGCGCCGCCGGAGCGCACGCGCAGCCCCACTTCCGGCCTCCGCTCCTCTGGGCCCCTCCTCCTCCCCCCCACAATGCCGTGCGGCGCCGTCCTGTCGCAAAGGCCGCATCCGGGCGGCGAATGAGCGAGTCGCTTTCCGTGCGCTGCGGCGGCGGCTGGGTCTTCCTGCTCCCGCCGCGCAGCCGGACGCCCCGACGGTAGCCATCTGCGCCGCAGTCGGCTCGGCGCCCCCGCCTCCGCGATGCCCCCCAAGAAACAGGCTCAGGCCGGGGGCAGCAAGAAGGCGGAGCAGAAGAAGAAGGAGAAGATCATCGAGGTGAGTACCCTCCCCCTCCGCGCTGGGCTGGGGCTCGCCGGGCTGCCGAGCGCCGCTCCCGGGGCCACGTGTCGGCGCCCAGCCTGGTGAGCCTCGGCCCGGGTGGCGCTCGCCGCCCCTGGCCTGCTCTGGTGAGGCCGCTGCGCCCCCGCTCCCGCCGCGTCTCCACCCGCGCTCCCGCCGCGCCCACTCGGCCGCCCGGTGACCCCGGGGCCGGCCTCTTCTCCGCGCACGAGTTGCAGCCGTTCCTCGGGGCTGTGCCCGAGTAAACAGGCTGAGCGGAGTCCTGGAAGGCCTCCTCTGACAGGCCTGCTGCCTCTTGGGTTTTTGTTTTTTATTTCTTTATCAGACAGTGAGACGCAGCCCTTTTAAATCTCAAGCGTCAACGTATTTACTTGGGTTGGTTTTTTTGATGTTTTTTTTTTCTTTTGGCCCATCTGAAACTTCCGGGTCAGGCAAAGGGTAGCCCAGCTGTCTTGTACATAGTATTTAATTCAGAGTCCGAATTAAATGTGTAGGCTGCGTTACTGCCCGTGCTGAATACGATGCTCTCGGTTTACTTACACACGCCAGCAACTGCTGAACCTGTAGGCCTTCGTTCAGTGAGCGAGGCAAAGGATTGATGTTCCTCATCTGCGTTACAACGACTGTTTTCCTTAAGACACTTAGCTATATTTGACATTCGGTAAACTACATGTATCTCTTTGTGAGATCTTCCCGACTAATCCTCCTCATACTTAAAAGATGTATGGCCCCTCACGGATTTGGGGTTATAGTTGGGAAAAGCAATGCCCGTTTTACAGCATAACATATCTGAATAGAAAGCAGCTTTCTATAGATTAATTCTTAGTAAAGCACCACAATGAATGTTTCGGGGCTTTGAAATGAGCTGTTTGCTTTTTGTTTTTCAACATTTGATTGCTACAGCCTTGAAAGATAGCCGTGAGAATCCCCAGGGTTCCCTTCTACAAGTCTAATGAGAACTTTGTCAATGTATATAGGTAAAGTTAGCTGGTTTAATTTAAATAAAATTAATGTGAAGACATTAATAATCGTGGCTGTTGTAGCTCTGAAGCAGACCTGCCATAACCAGAACATTGAAAGCAAAATAATTGCTGGACTGTGGTGGTATCCCAGCACTTGGGAGGCAGAGGCAGGCAGATCTCTGTGAGTTCGAGGACAGCTGGGTCTACACAGAGAAATTCTGCCTCAAAAAGTGGGGGGGGGGGAGGAAAGCTAAATAAATCAGGATTTGGGAGACAAATATCTGGGAATAATAATCTGATGGCAGTTCAGTGCTGTGCCATCAAAGGACATTTGGAGATACCATTTCACTTAAAGACTACTGAGATTGAACCAACTTTAAGACTAAAGGTATTTCTTTAAAGTGGTGGTATAGGTCTCTCTTAGTTTGAGGTCAGCCTGATCTACAGAGTGAGTTCCAGAACAGCCAGGGCTACACAGAGAAACCCTGTCTTGGGGGGGGGGGGAGTCAAATTTGTTTATAGTATTCTATCTAACAACCATGAAGATATTTTGGCTTCATTCATCATGGAACAAGTTTTTGTTGTATTTCTGGTTGTTGCTTTTTGTTTGGTGGTTGGTTTATTTTTGTTTTTGAAGTTAAGAGAACTTGACTTTAGTTTCCATCAGTGAAGACATCTTCGAAGATAAATGCATTTTCTAGAAAAGAAAAGAAAACTACATCCTTTAACTGATTAAAAGTAGCCTAATACAGTAACAGAATTAAGCCTGGTTTGATTTGGTTTGTAATTTCTCTGAGACCCTAGCATGTCTTGAAGACTTTTATTAGGAGCTTTGCAGTGGTTGGTTAAGTTTATATTTTGTCTCCTTAGTCAAATTTCATGTAAAACAGCCCCCTGTTGACTTTTGTAACAAAAGAAAATTGCATTTTTTCCTGTTCCTCTTTTAAATTGTCCGAGACATCATAAATTCACTTTTGGGAATATATGTTTTCTTCTTGAAATGAATGTATCACACAGTGGTTCAAGTTTTACTCTCCATTCACATATTGTCCCAAACAATATATAACTTGCTTTCTTATAGCCAAAATAATACATTGAGATCAACTTTGAGCAACAAAATGTCCAACCATAGACAAGGCAGAGCCTGGAATCCAAGCTGAGGCAAAAGGATTTCAAGTTTGAGGACAGCCTTGATGATAACATAAAACCCTGTCTTAAAGATTAGAAGAAAGGGCTGGGCGTTGGTGGTACACACCTTTAATCCCAGCACTCATGAGGCAGAGGCAGGCGGATCTCTGAGTTCGAGGCCAGCCTGGTCTACAGAGCCAGTTCCAGGACAGGCTCCAAAACAATACAGAGAACCCTGTCTCGAAAAAACAAACAAAAAAAAAAAAAAAAGAAGAAGAAGAAAGGGGCTGGAGAGCCAGCTCAGTAATTAGGAGCACTGGCTGCTCTTCCAGAGGACCCAGGTTCAATTCCTAGCACCCACATGACAGCTCAGGACAAGCTAATTGCAGTTCCATAGGATCTGGTGCCTTCACACACATACACGTGCAGGCATATCAAATCTTTTTCTTAAAAAGAACAAAAGAAAAATACGTATAATCATTGGCTTGGGTCGGGTGCCTTTGGGTGTAGGGCTAGCGGATGATAAGGAATGTTTGTTCCCCCTGGGGACATGTGGCACTGAAGAATAGTCCTCGGGCTTGTAAGAAAGATGAAGCTGTTGGTTGCTGGCAGTTAAATTAATCAGTTGCAAAGTGTTCATTTCATAGACAACAAAATATATTAGGTTGTGTATTTGGACAAAACCGAGTTAATGCAGTATCAACCTCTGCCTACCTTAGGGTCCCAGATAATAGAACCCAGAACCCATTTATCTTGAAACACTGTCAAAGTTGACGTTCTCCTTTGTTTTTTCTTAAACATCTTTAAGGATCGGACGCTGGCCTGTAAAGGGAGTAGGATTGCTTAAGGGTCAGAAAGGAAAAGAGGTCAGAGTTGTCAAGTCTGGAATTGGGTGTGTGGAGATTCGAGAAGCATTCCTTTCCTTACAGCCTCCTTTCCAACTCCTTTGCATTCTACTGTTGAGTTCATCCACTGAGACATAGCCTTCTTTCCCTATAATGACTTTTGAAGCCTTAGACGTATTTTCCTAGTTTTACAGAAGTAATAAAACCTTTTCCTAGCGAATACTTTCCCACTCCCAAATCCATTTGAACTTTGAGGTGTTTGTTCAGAGCTCAAGAAAGGCTTTATTGAAATAGTTTGGGTTGTAAATCCTACTTTTAAGGTGTCCCAGTGTTATTTCAGAATGTAGACCTTGTACCTCACGTAGAGTGCTTACCTAGTACACTTGAAGCCCCGGGTGACTCTATGGTACCACAGAAACAGCATGGTGGTATGTTTGTGTAATTCTATCACTTTGAAGATAGAAGCAAGTAGATCAGAAATTCAAGGTCCTCCTCAGCTATAAATCCAGTTTAAGGCTCACCTAGGCTTTGTGTGCATGTGTCAGGGGTGGATGCTTTTGGTAAACCAATCTATAACTTAACCAGGACTCTGGAAAACATAGGTTACAGTAGTGGGAGGAGTAAGGGCTTAAATCAAATACATTTTAATTTAAATATTATGTCATTGAATAGTTCAGAGGTATTGAGCTAGATAGTTTCTCATTATTTTGAAGACAAGGAAGCTGGGCATTGGTGACGCATGCCTTTAATCCCAGCCCTGGGGAGGCAGAGGCAGGCAGATCTGTGAGTTCCAGGACAGCCTCCAAAACAATACAGAGAAACCCCTGTCTCAAACAAGGAAAAAGCCATCTATAAGTGATACGTAGCTCCTTTGTCTCAATAAGTATTAGTGCCCATTATGCAGTTGCGATAACAGGCACAAAAGTTAAATAACTTACTTAAGGTATACTGAATTGGCAAGCAAGATGACAGGATTTAAACCCAGAAAGTCAGGCCTCCAAGTCCGTGCTGTCAGCTAGTTTCTATGGTGCCTCACTGTTGTACGTCTTTAATTCAGAAAACTAAGGTTAGACTCTTTTCCATGGCACAGTTACCTGGCTCAGTTTGGCTCTGGATTGTTTTTTTTTTTTTTAAGTTAAAAACAATCTTATTTTACATGCCAGTCCCAGTTCCCTCTCCCTTCCATCCTCCCATGCCCTCCACCAAACCCCAACCACTCCTCTGGGAGGGTGAGTCCTCCCATAGGGGATCATCAGAGTCTGTCACATCATTTGGGGTAGGACCTAGGCCTTCCCCCATTTTTCTAGGCTGAGAGAATCTCCCTCCATAGGGAATGGGCTCCCTATGGGATAAATACTGGTTCCACTGGCAGAGGCCCCCCAACTGACACCCACATTCAGGGGGCCTGGTTCCATCCTATGCTGATCCCCTGCTGTCAGACTGGAGTTCTTGAGCTCCCACTTGCTCAAATCAGCTGTTTCTGTGGATTTCCCCAGCATGGTCTTGACCCCTTTGCTCATCACTCCTTCTCTGTGATTCCAGGAGTTCAGCTCAGTGCTTGTGAATTTCTGATTCCGCTTCCATCAGCTACTGGATGAAGGCTCTAGGATGGCTTATAAGGTAGTCGTCAGTCTGATTATAGAGGAAGGGCATTTAAAGGTAGCCTCTCCACTATTGCTTAGATTCTTAGTTGGGGTCATCCTTGTGAATCTCTGGAGACTTCCCTAGTGCCAGATTTAAGTTGTATTTTGTTGTTTGTTTTACAAGACAGAGTTTCTCTGTATTGCTTTGGAGCCTGTCCTAAAACTCGCTCTGTAGTCCCTGCTGGCTTTGAACTCACAGAGATCCACCTGCCTCTGCCTCCTGAGTGCAGAGGTGCCACCAACACCCAGCTAGATTGTATTCTTAAACAGAATTTGGGAACATGTCAGAGTTTCTACACTTAGTAAGAGATAATCTTAGGTCTATGAAGGAGACTCAGTAGAGTGTACATGTGTCTGTATGTCTGTGTAGATGGAAAAATTCAGGAATCTGCTTAGTAAATGCCTACCCTTTCTCTAGAAAAAAATTACTGTACAAAAATAAATTAAAAGTAGAGCCTTTTAAACTGTTTATTAAACTGGTTAATTAAGTGCTAAAAACCTGGAAGCTTGGTGGGGGATTTTCTGCTTGTATTTTGATGTTTTTCCTTTTCAGGTCTGGAATTATACCTTTCCCAAGCTACGGAAGTACTTTGTTCTCAAGCTGCCAGGCCCCTGTGGCGTCTTCCCCTCCAGCTTAAATATTTCTATATCAGTATATGCTTTGCTATCCAATTTAATCTATTCATGGTTTACTGCTCCTATAATTGCATATCAGGCAAAGCATTTATAAGTGCTGATGCACTTTGGTCTTGATGGTTTACTAGAGTCTCCTTTCCCATTCATGATAGCTCATCTCTGTGCAAAGAAGATGGGGCATCGCATACTTGGCTGCAGCCCATCTGTCACATGACGCTTGACCATCTTACCCGGAATTGGCTAAAACATTAAGCTTTGTACAAAAATAGAGGGTGCCATTTATAAAAAGCTTGATAAGAGACAATTTCAGCTTTTATGTTTACTTTTTCATAGGCATAAGCTGTAGAATATATATATGTAGAATTTTGTAATGTCATGCTGGGATGTCATCTAGGTTAAGTAAAAGTAAAATTTAAGTATATGATAATGAATAAAGTATTTACCAGTGAGAAGTAAACCTTTTAGACTCAAAACACCTGTGAGCTCTTTACTGTTAAAAACATTGAAAGACTGTATTGAGTTTAAGACACTGTAAAGATTATGTTGTGTTGCATGGTTTCAGATAGTTCTTGGAAAGTGTTTGTCCTTTCAGACTGAAGGCTTTTCAGAGAATCTCTAGTTCCATTCAAAATATCTTTTTGCCTTCTGTGAAATCACTCATAAGCAAGGGAATGAGAAGGGGAAAAAAACACAAACCCTGTTTGAGATATAGAGCCGTCTATAATGTTGAACTTCTACATATGAAGGTTGGCAGCTCATGAATGAGTTGGTAACTGAGAACAGCAGGCAGGACTGAGTGCTCTCTGTTAAGAAGTATTCCAGAAAACCATACTGTAGAAAGTGAGAGACTGAAAACTGGATTAAAGATGCTAGAATAGCTAATAGTTGATACCCACTATGGCTCAGTAAGGTAACTCTACCACAGCAAACAGGTGTGTATTCCTTACAGAGATGGAGAGTGGTGTATTTGTTTTCACTAGGCACAGAGGCCGTGGGGAGTGATTAAAATGGGAGGCTGAAGCCAGATGTGGGAGTGTGTGCTTATAATGTAAACACTCAGGAGATTGAAGCAAGAGAATTATGTCAAGGCTCTCCTGCACTCATAATAAAACCTGCCCTCTCTATCTCCTAAAAAACCAAGGATGGACCTCAGAATGTCCAGGGTCTGTTCAGTGAACGAAAAGATAACTGCCCCCCCCACCTGTTGTTTCTCTGCCCTAAAGTCAGGCTTATCTCTCTCCTTGCCAGACCCTTACAGAGAAATGAAATCACGTAAATAAAACAGTTCAGATAGTGCCACCTATTTGTGTTAGGACTGATCTCGCTGTTGTAGTTTCTTTGGGCTGCTGTAACAAATTACCCCAAACTATTACTAGACAACTTGTTTTCTCACCATTCTGTGTTGGAGAAGTCTGAAATCCAAGTGTAAACATGGTTGTGTCCCCCTTCCGAAGACCACAAGGAAAAAAATCTTCTGGCTTGGTCCAGCATTTATGATGTCATCCAGCATTCTTTGGTGTTCCTTAGCTTGAGTTTGTGTTACTCCTCTACTGTCTTCACATTGCCTTCTCTTGGTATAACCTCATTTCAAGGTTGTATCCACAAAGACTTGTTTCCGAATAAAGATGAATTTAAAGTATGGTAGATACAGGTTTTAGGTTTTCAAGGGATACCATTCATCTCCTTATAGCACCTAAAACCATTTGCATGCGTCCTTGTGTGTCTGAAGTTCCAACCTGGCACTGTTGGTGCATGCCTTTAACGACAGCACTAGAAAGGCAAAGGCAGGCAGAACTCTGTGAGTTGGAGGTCAGCCTGGTCTACAGAGCAAGTTCCAGGACAGCCAGGGCTACACAGAAAAAACCCTGTCTTGGAAAAACGAAAGACAAAACAAAAATCTGAAGTCCTTTCTTCACCATACTTATTGAATATGGGGTAAAGAGCCAAGGTTCACCATAAGTGCTGGGCACAAAATGATAATCTCCATATTGGGAAGCTTCCAATGAACTAATAAAAATCCCTAACTCCAGTTAAATTTGTGGCGGTGTTCTAGAAACTAGTCCAGAAGTTTAGGTGTCCGTTCTTGTACTGTATTTCCCAAAACAAGTTTGTCAGTGATGGGGTATATCCTTCTGTATGATGTGAATATATGTATCTCTTATTGGTTAATGAATCAAGCTGTTTCAGTCAATGGACAGGTAGGAAATCCAAAGGGATAGGTGGAGTCAAGGAGAAGCCATGTAGCTACTGGGAAGGTAGAATGCCTGGGGCATTTTTCAGTAAGCAAAGACCACATGGAGATGCGTAGATTAATAGAAATGAGTTAATCATTAAGAGAGAGCTAGCTAATAAGAAGCCTGAGCCATTGGCCAGTTTATAACTACTATAAGCCTCTGTGTGTTTATTTGGGACTAAACGGCTGTGGGACTAGGGCGGCAGAAACTTCTGTCTATGTATCAGTACCATAAGTTTACAAAAGTGCATCCTGAGATTAATTGAGACTTAAGAATCTAGGATTTGGTGTTCAGCTCAGTAAGTAATAGATTACATCATATGTAAATTGCCCTGGGTTCTACTGCCAGCACTGCAAAAGAAAAAAAGTTAAGAGAATACTCTTCACATAGCATTTTCCTTGACTTGTTTGACCATGGGACAACTTGTACCAGTATAACAACTCCACAGGTCCCAAAGACTAATAATCTGAAACATACTAAGGAGAAAAGCAGCATTAAAAGATTTAATGGTGACAGTGACCGTTTTAGTATTAAATTAGTATTTAGTATTCAATTTTGTGTAGTGATAGTTGATATTTTAAGTGATAAATATTTTCATATTCATTGTGCTCTCTAGTTTTTATGTCAACTTGGCACAGGCCAGAGTTAATTTTTTTGGAAGAACTCAACTGAGAAAGTACCCTCAAAAGATGACCTTATTTTCTTGATTGATGATTGATGTGGAAGGACCCAACTCACTGTGGGCAGTGCCCTCTAGGTTGTTGATCCTGGGTGCTGTAAAGAAGCAGGTTGAACAGGCTGTGAGGAGCAGTCCAGTAGGCAGCACTGCTCCATAACCTTTATATCAGTTCCTGTGTCTCCCCACACATACACACACACCAAGGATAATGGACTACAAGCTGTAAGATAATTCCTTTCCTCCCCAAGTTTCTTTTGGCCATAGTATTTTAATACAGCAATAGAAACCTTAACTAAGTGATACATTGTCTTTGCCTGATGGTGTGATGCTTTATATATTTTTTTTTGGCATAAAGAATATATATGAAATGACAGACTATGGACACCCCCATGGAGGGCCTCACCCTCCCTGGGGGAATGAGGGGATAACGGGAGTAGGGGGGTTGGGGGGAGGGCACGGGAGGAGGGGAGGGAAAGGGAGAGGGACCTGGAACTGACTTGTGAAGCAACCTTGTTTCTTATCTAAATTTAAACTGGAAAATAAAATAAGAAAAAAGAATATAATTTCTGGGGCTAGAGAGATGGTTTAGCATTTAAAGAGCACCGGATGCACTTCCAGATGACTCTGGATTCAATTCCCAGCACCCACATGGCAGCTCACAACCACTTACAACTCCAGTTCTGGGACATCCACCACCGTTTTCTGGTCTCTGGGCCCTCTACACATGTAGCACACAAACTTGCGTGCAGGTAAAACACACACATAAAGTAAAAATAAATCTTACGTTTTGATGAAGACTTATTTTTTTCCTATCAATTAATAAATGGTTTTTGACACATCATTGAAAAGATAGTAATAATAATTTACCAAGATATTTCTGTGTACTTTCTCGTTTAGGACAAAACTTTCGGTCTAAAGAATAAGAAAGGAGCAAAGCAACAGAAGTTTATTAAGGCTGTCACTCATCAAGTGAAATTTGGTCAACAGAATCCACGTCAGGTAAATAATTTAAATTGCTGTATTTTCTGATGGTTGTAATAATAATATAGCATTTATCTCAGATTACTTGGTATTGTGATTATATTGCAAAGTAATACCATACTCTATAAACTTATGTCTTAATCTTTCTTACATCTTCTACGGCAGTGGCTCTTTATAGAACTCATAAGTGATCCCATTGTTTCTATCTTTTTGATATTAGAATACTTCTACAAGGAATACTCTGGTAAATAATGTCCTTAAATGTGCTTAAGCTTTTATTTCTCTTGTATAAATTGTCTACAGACTTCTCTTTCTAGGTCAAGGAAAATGAACTTATAATGCTTTTAAATTTTTTATTTTATGTACATCAGTACACATGCCACAGTGCTTCTCTGTGGGTCAGAGGAAAACTTGTGAGAGCTGGTTCTCCCTTTCTTCCCCTGTGGTGTAGATTCCAGTAACTGAACTGAGTTCCTCAGGATTGACAGGAGATGCCTTTAGTCACTGAGCCATCTCTGACCCTGAACTTCTCATTTTAATAAGTTTGTCTGAACAGATTCTGTGGACTAATACTTCACATTTTCATTTCCTATATGTACTGGATGCTAAGGTTTCTTAGTGTTTCCCCCGATAATAAGTTTAAAGTAGCATTTCATTGTGTTCTCAGTGGTAGAGTGAATCATCTCATATGCTTGTCATTTTATGCATCCAACTACTCAAATATCGGCTGCCTCTTTCTTACAAATTTGTAAGAAATACTTTTGTTAACATTGCAGATAATTTGTTTCATGTTTATTTTGCTGTACAATAATTTTGTCTCACTTTCTGCTGGATTGTTTTGTATAATTTTCTTAGTTTCTTAGGTTTTGTTTTATTTCTGGTTGCTTCCTTTTTGCAGTCCATACTTTTTCCTATATCTTACATATCTATAAAATTGTCTTTGGATAGTTACTTGGTCCAGCACCATTTCACTACTGAATTGTAATATGACTCCTGATATATTAGGCTCTGTTTCTGGATTCTCTCTTCAGTTCTACTTATTGTCTATGTCACATTGTTTTCCATTATAGTGAGCAACCTAGACATATATGCTGTTAACTGCCTTCTTTTTAGTCTTGTTGCTTCTTAGAAAGTTCTTATATAAGAATTGGTAACTTGTTCAAAAACTTTAGCTTGTTTTCTTCAGATTTTTTAGACATTTCATTCCATAAGGTGTTACAAATATGATTTTTTTTCAGTATTTCCTTTTTTAATGTCTCTTCCTTAATTCTTGGCAACGCTCTTTGAACATAGAAAAGAAATTCTCAAGTTTTTTTGTTTGTTTGTTTCTGGCTTTTTCCGAGACAGGGTTTCTCTGTGACTTTGGAGGCTGTCCTGGAACTAGCTCTTGTAGAACTGGATGGTCTCAAACTCACAGAGATCCACCTGCCTCTGCCTCCCGAGTGCTGGGATTAAAGGTGTGCGCCACCACCGCCCAGCCTCAAGTAGGTTTTTAAGTACAGTTTTTTAGTCTGAGAATATCAGCATAATATATCTGCTAGATTACTAATCTATGTAAAACCTGATTCTCTTCATGGCTGTCTCCATCCTTGTCTCTTTCTCTCTTGAATCACAACTTTATTCTAGAGCCAGAGGATAGTGTTCTTCCAAGGTACTAACTTTACCTTGTTTATTGTTTAGTAAGAATGTCTTCAGTGTGAAACAACTAAAGTTCAAAAATGTTTTGTTTTCTTTTTTAAAGAAAAGGTGCATCATGGTTGGTGTATTTAGATAATGTTTGTACTGAACAGGTACAGAGCTTTGAAAGCTATTGTTCTCTAAGCAATTCAATGTGATGATTTAGATAGCTTGCGTTGTATTAGATATTTCAAGTAATACTCAAGGGACTTGAGCTACCATGTATTTGGGCATCTGAAGAGTCCTAGAATCACTGCCCAAAGGTACCAAAGGATCGCCTTTATGCTAAGCCTTGGACCCGATAGACTTGGGTTCAGTCTTTTTCATTACATGATTTTAAATTATTCACAAATACTAGTTTTTATTGCAGAGTAGAAGGGCAGTTGTTCCCTGTAGAATTCCCCTGGTGGTTAAAGAAGGCTCCCTGTCCAGTACTATTTCCTCTTCCTCTGACATCTTCCTAGTAGTTTGAGTATTTTGTTTTAGATTTAATAAACCTAGAAATGTTATAAAATTCATGAGCTACTTAAGTATATCACTACATTCAGTATTATGTTTTTGATACATGTTTTTGATACTTTCTTGGGTAAGTTGGTCTAGCATGGAATTTAGAGTACCTAATTACTACATACTACTTTGAAGCTGATCAGCATCCTGTTTGTAGACCCAACCTGAGGTTCTGCCCTGAGTTGTGTGCGGAGGAAGGGGGCCCTGCTGTTAATTATTTCCCAGACATCTCTCCCTGGGGTGTGCTCCACAGCTCCCCAAAGCAACTGTTAGGGCATTTGAAGGCCCCTTCCCTCCTCGTTCCCATCTCTAGGGAGAATATGTTGTGCTGCCAGTTTACCCAAGAGCCTAAGGGAATTGTGCTAGGGATACAGGACAGGGCCTCTGCTGCCATATTCTACCCTCGAACCATAGACAGATACTGTGAGGCTGGAGATAAATCAGAAGAGGGGTAAATAGGGGCTGACTGCATTGCAACTGCTAAACTTTGTTGAGCAACTCTCTAAAAAGTAACATGAGCCTAATCAGCAAGGACTACTTATATTTAAAGGAAAGCAGAATAATCGTTGTTGTTGTTGTATAAGCACTTCCACTGTGTAGTGGAAGTCAGAACTTGGAATGACCTAATTGTAGCATTGGTTCATTCTTTTCCCGGGTTTGTTTTGTTTGTCCCTTTTGAACACATTTTGTTCTTACTGATTTATTTTTCTTCCTGCTGTTTCTTGAGTCTCTTAACAGATTAGGTTCTGTTTTGTCTCAGACTAGACCCTGTCTAGTTGCAGTGGAGTCAGTGTCGTGTCCAGTGCAGCTGCCTTTAAACAGCTCCGCCCAGATGCTCTGTAAGCATTTCACCCTCCTGTGTCCAAAACTGAGCTCATCTCCACCTCCTGCCCTGAAACCTGTTCCTCCTGTATTCCCTGTCTTTTTCAGCAGCACTTATTGTGCATATGCTAATCCCAGGCTCCTCTTTCTCCTCTGTTATGGCCAGAATCCTTTAGTTCTGCTTCCTAAAATGCTCTCTTTTCTTCTCATTCTTGTACTCACACCTATTTGAAAAACTAGTGCATTCCTACCTACAATTGCAGGAGACTCTTTGCCTTTCTTCTTGGATTGCTAGTCTGTCCTCAAAGTCACCACCCTGTCTTTGTAAAATGAAACCTGGTCTGGTTACTTTAAACCACTAAGTTACAGTCTCTTACCTGCTGATAAAATCCAAACTTGTCATTGATGTTTCTCATGTGTTGGTGTTCTCTGGTCCTTTGTCTTTACAGTGGCAGGTTCTTGCTACATTCCTTTCTTGTTCATCAGAACTCCTCTATAAAGTTATCGGCTTAATCTACTTTTCTAAACATATAGACATTCTTTGTTTTCAAATTACTATGGATATTGGGTTATAGTTGTATGTCTGTCTTCCCCCAATTAAGCATCTTGTATTGTGTCTTATAATATAGGGGCTGAGGTATAAATGTTTTAAATAAATACACTAGTCATATTAGGTATGTAAAACATTTTCTAGAACTATGAATGTATTGTGCCTTCTATTATCACCTACATTAACGAAATTGGTTTCTTTTCAATAAGGGCACTATAGTTTGTGGTGGTTATTGACCATTTTTGTGTCATGGAACGTGTCAGGATATTTTCATCTCATGTCAAAATGCAATTAAATTTTTATGTATAGATTATTTTCATTGGGGAAAAATACTTCTATTGAGAACTGTTAGCTAAATGCCAGGATTAAGTGTTTAATAAATTTTAACCATGAACTCTGAATGTGTTTTAATTAGGTGTGATGCCTAATTATAGGACAGAAAAGAATTTGTTACAAAGCTTACCAATTATGATAGTTTAAACCACAGTACCTAATGTGTAAGCAAGCCCCTTAATGTAAAGACTGCATACATATAAATATGCAGATGTCTTTGTTATGTTAGTAATTGCTGTGTAGTGAAACAGTTTTGTAAGCAATCAGATTTACATTTTTAACTTGGAAATGTAGGTAGCTCAAAGTGAAGCTGAAAAGAAACTGAAGAAAGATGACAAGAAGAAAGAACTACAAGAACTAAATGAGTTGTTCAAACCTGTAGTTGCTGCACAAAAAATAAGTAAAGGTAAAATTTAAATGTCAAGTGCTATTTTTGTCAAATATAATTCATGTTTCAAACTTGATTTGTGGGGAACTTGAGTGAGAGCTCTTGCTCTTAGAGAGTACCTGGTCTCAATTCCCAGTACCCATAGCAGGTTCATAACTCCAGCTCCAGGGGATCCAACGCTCTAGCCACCTGAGGCAAAAGGTACATATTGCTACACATATAAAATAAATTTTTTAAAAAATTAAGTTTTTTATTTGATTTGTGTTTGACATGGTAATATATACTTTTAGTTCTAGCACTTGGGAGGTAGAGGCAGGCAGATCTGGATCAATACCAGCCAAACAGCAAGACCTTGCTTTAAGAAAATAAAAACAACTTTTGGTTTGTTGTGGTTTTGGTTTTTGTGTTTTGATGAGGGTGGTCTTGAGGAGCCGAGACAACTATAAATCACGTACATATTTGGGGCAGTATTCTTCCATTTATGTTTTTCTTTGCCTCCTGTCTCACTGACTGCACAGCCAAGGAAGTATAGAATAGCCTGTGTGTTTGGTTTTCCACTTCTGCCACTGATTTTGATAAGAATAAAAGATAAACAAATAGCTCAAATGCTATGTGAAGAGCTTTAAAGAAATATCTAACTAAACACCTAAGTGATACTTTTTCTCACATAAGTAAATAGAAAATAATAAATTAAACAGAAGTAGTTATATCCCATATATAAGCTATGCCTTATGATCTAGCAGCCTGTAAGATTGCAGGGGGGGACGACACACACAAACAAAGGAACAACCAACACCCTGGAGCAGGCAGGGAGGCCCAAAAATGGATTGCTTGCCTGTAGTACAGATGTTACTTCCCCTTTGATACAGGTGCAGATCCCAAATCTGTGGTGTGTGCATTCTTCAAACAAGGGCAGTGTACTAAAGGAGATAAATGTAAGTTTTCTCATGACCTCACTTTGGAGAGGAAATGTGAAAAACGAAGTGTTTACATTGATGCAAGAGATGAAGAACTTGAAAAAGGTATATCTCTTTTATTATTTCTTACTGTTTAGTAATATGTTAGTACAATATTAGTATTGTTTGAAAAGAATAGTTGGGGTTTTGCACAAAGTTTAAATAAATGATGCTTAGAATACAGTGATTTAGTTTGGATTTGTCTTGTCTTCCTGTGCTAATGTCATTTATCTAAATTACTTAGGGAGCTTGGGTAGATAATTCGCAATACTGTGTATGCTGCCTTTCCTGTTTCAGAGAAAATTGTTATATTATGAATATTACAGTTTAGTGTACCTGTCTGTTTAAAGGCCTATATTGTGGGAGCGGGATATAAAAATTGATTGTTGTGTCTTTTTATTTAGATACTATGGATAATTGGGATGAGAAAAAGCTGGAAGAAGTAGTAAACAAGAAGCACGGTGAGGCGGAAAAGAAAAAACCAAAAACGCAAATAGTATGTCCTTTTCTTGAATTGAGTCGCTGTAGCATTTATTATTTGGGAGAATTTTGTGGCAAGGTATTGATGTTTTCTCCTGGATTGTTAAGTATTAGAAAATCACATTTCACCAGCATCAAGCTTTATTTTTTGGAATTTACAGATTGTTTCATTTTTTAATTAAATTGTTTTAACAAAATTTGTCTAAAGTTGAGTAACTAAAGTCTCCTAAATGTAATTTTCTGGAGTGATTTGACTTCTTTAACTATGGGTTCGCATAACTGGACATGGTAGCATATACCTGTAATCCCAGAAGGTCCATTGCACATTCCATGCAGGACCAGTCTATATAAATTGGCTCTGACTGAAAAAAACAGGATGAATACAATACACACTTAGCTAACAGTCTTCTATCTTGTGAGTAATGATGGAAGTAGGCTTATTAAGCCAACCCATGTAATTAATTGTTCGATTTTTTTTAAATACTTGGGAAGTTTTTTAATTACTAAGTCAAAAAATATTTTTACATATGAATTCCAACATGCTTTGTCGCACGAATAATAACGCAGACAGATAATTGGGGTTCAAACTGATGATTAGAGAAGCAAAGCAGCCAACCACAAGAGAGTTCTTACCTCTACCAAGGCTCAGACCAAAAAGGGGCGATCCTGTCCTCAATGTGACTGCAGACTGAATACAGTGTACTCCTGTCTCCGCCCGCCTTACATTCCTCTCTAGTGTTGGGACTAAAGGTGTGTGCCACCACTGCCTGACCTGTATGGCTGACTAGTGTAGCTAGCTTTGCACTCTGATCTCCAGGCAAGCTTTATTTGTTAGATCATAAGCAAAATATCACCATGTTGTTTTAAAATTCAGATTATTGCTCAGCTTCTGTATTCACAGCCAATAAGGTTCTGCTCTGCTGGAAGACTTAAGTGAATTGTGCTTCATAAACACTCCTTGCTTTTTTTGGGGAGCGTGTATTGGTGGGTTTGTGTGTGTGTGTGTGTGTGAAGGCTGTTGGCTGGGGTTTTAGCACAGTTGCACTTTGTGCCCATTTGTGTTTAAGATCACTATTGTGCTCCTTTTGAACCTTGTACTCTTATGACTCATGTACAGAGTTGCCTGTTTAGTCAAGTAATCCCAATAGAGTTTATGTCATTAATGCTTGGGCTGGATTTATCGAGAGTAGGGGCTTTGGATTTTGACGTTATACTACATGGTTTGGTTTTAATTGGTTACGTGTAGTATTAGTGTCTATGTGGTATGTACACATGAGTACAAGTGCCTATAGAAGCCAGAGGCCAAGTCAGATTGCCTAGAGCCAGGGCTAGAGGCAGTTCTAAGCCTCCCATCATTATCCACTGAGCTATCTCTTTAGCCCCTGGCTTGTTTTGGGGGGACAGGGTCTCACCCTGTAGGGTTTCACAGGGACCCAGGCTGGCCTTGAACTCTTTTAAACAGTTTTTCTTGCCTTGGCTTTCTGAGGGCTGGAATTACAAAGGAGTGAGCCATAAGGCTTGGCTTTGTATTAGATGTCTTTTCAAACATTTTTGTGTATAAGTGTGCTTTGTACATAAGTTAGCCTTAGGATGTGAGTATTGTTACTTGTCCCATATACTTAAGCAACTCAAAGTCCAATGGATTTGCACTGCACCACCACTTCTGAATAATACTGTCTCTATAGGTGTGCAGACATTTCCTTGAAGCTATTGAAAATAACAAGTATGGCTGGTTTTGGGTGTGTCCTGGAGGTGGCGACAATTGCATGTATCGCCATGCACTTCCTCCTGGATTTGTGCTGAAGAAGGACAAAAAGAAAGAAGAGAAAGAAGATGAGATTTCATTAGAAGATCTAATTGAAAGAGAGGTAACAAGTATCTTTTCTCTTAAACAAACGCTATTTTAATTGTTTTTGTAAATTCTAATACTTACCACTTGGGGGCAATAGCATGTTAAGAAAGGAAAAATGTCATTTTCTTAAAGTTACTATACTTTAATTATTGAGATTTTTTGTTTTTGTTTTTGTTTTGTTGTTTTGTTTTTCGAGACAGGGTTTCTCTGTGGCTTTGGAGGCTGTCCTGGAACTCGCTTGGTAGTCCAGGCTGGTCTCAAACTTACAGAGATTCGCCTGCCTCTGCCTCCTGAGTGCTGGGATTAAAGGCATGCGCCACCAACGCCCAGCTAATTATTGAGTATCTTAAATGTAAGTTTTACCATTTACATTAGCCAAACATACTTTTTTTTTTTTTTTTGGTTTTTCGAGACAGGGTTTCTCTGTGGCTTTGGAGGCTGTCCAGGCTGGTCTCGAACTCACAGAGATCCGCCTGCCTCTGCCTCCTGAGTGCTGGGATTAAAGGCGTGCGCCACCACTGCCCGGCTAGCCAAACATACTTTAATTATAGGAGTATGTAGGATTGTTTTGTTTGTGAAGTGCTAACTACCACTGTTTTCATACCATGCTTATCTATGCCTCTTGTTGGTGGTCTTTTTTCTTTGTAACATGCTAATATTGTGGTTATGTGTCTGATCTATCCAGTTATGGGAGACGTAATCTGAGTAAAGAAGCTTCTTCAGCTGCTGTTCTCTAGTTCAGCAAAGTAGATGATTGTGTGAGTTGAAGGGCATTGAGGATAGTGTGAAATTGAGATTATTGTGAATACTAGATTAGCATGTTTGCTTCAGTGTACATGTGACTAATACTGAGATTATGTACACTCCTTAAGTGACTGTGTGGCTGTGTTGTTTGTATGTCACACAGGATAAAATAATAAAGTATGAGTGTTAGCGTCAAGTATGCATGAGATTGTTTTCACTCTAGTTCCACCGTTTCCTAACTGCTCATGTTTGATAAATGTCTTGTCACCCTCTGCTTATTTGTGGAGATCAGTGTGGTAGTGTATATATAGAGAGAGCTTTCATCACTGGGTGTCTGGCAGATGCTTATTTTTCTACCCGTTTATTACCTATTACCCCTGAGAAGTGTAGATGATGTTTTGGTTTTGGTTTTATCTTCTGAAAGAACACAAAGGAAGCTTGGCTTTATTATGTTTTTTTTTTTTATTTCATAGTTTTACCAACAGTTTTCATGACAAACTTTTCTGCTCAAAAGAGATTTGATTACCTCAAGTGTTAGGTTAAGTATCATAATTTACTCTATTTACTGTTTTAGGACAATCATAGGGAAAGAATTAAAAGAAAAGTGCTGTTAAACACCTCGAAGTGACTTTAAATCTCTTTACCTTTGCAGCGTTCTGCCTTAGGTCCAAATGTTACCAAAATCACTCTAGAATCTTTTCTCGCATGGAAGAAAAGGAAAAGACAAGAAAAGATTGATAAACTTGAACAGGATATGGAGAGACGGAAAGCTGACTTCAAAGCGGGGAAAGCACTGGTGGTATGTCCCAGACTCACACCAGTGAATCTTTCTTCTTCTGTCTCATGGTGTTTAAAATGTGGGGTTCTGTCTTTCTGACTTCAAAGCGGGGAAAGCACTGGTGGTATGTCCCAGACTCACACCAGTGAATCTTTATTCTTCTGTCTCATGGTTTTTAAAATGCGGGGTTCTGTCTTCCTCTATGTAGTATGTCTAAAGTTAATGATAACTTTTCCCCTGAGATGATGTATTTGTGTCCCTGAATAGATCAGTGGTCGTGAGGTGTTTGAATTTCGTCCTGAGCTGGTCAATGATGATGATGAGGAAGCAGATGATACCCGCTACATTCAGGGAACAGGTGGTGATGAGGTAAGGCCGAGCTTCGACCTCACATTGATCTTACTGGGGGGAAATGGTAGAGAAAATGAAAGCATGGTTAAAAGCACCAACATTGGGCCAGACTCCGGAGATCAGGTCCCATTTCCATCAATAAGAAACTTTCTCTAGACCTCCACTCTGACCGGCACTGCAGGTAAGTAATTCCTAACTCAGGCTGCTTCTGAGAATGAATGAATTCATTGATGCATATTTTTAGGGCTGCTTTCTTTATGGAACTTAGGACGTGCTGAGGGATGGTAGCATGAGATTTTTATCCCAGCACTTGGAAGGCAGAGGCAGGTGGATCTCTGTAAATCCGGGGCCAGCCGGGTCTACAAAGTGAGCTCTGGAAAAACCAGGGCTACACAGAGACACCCTATCTAAAAGCCAAAATAAAAAACAGTGCTTGGTGCATACATTTAAGTGCTTTGTACAGTAGATGTTAAAAGAAACTCTCCCTTTAAAATAATTTTTTTGTTAAAAATTTGTTCTATAAAAACAATAGCAGTTCTGCTAATACATCATACAATTTTGTGTCCTTGTCATGGAATTCCACATATTCCAAAACCATAATTCCAGAGAAGGACACTTCAGATAGAATATTACTGCTTTTTTTTTTTCCTGAAAAATGTGAGGGGAGTCTTCAAGCCATAGGTGTCATTTGTTTTGTTTTCTTTTCTTGGCATTAGTAATAATTTTGTTTCCTGAAGATAATGTGTCAAGATTAAAGTGAGTTGAGGAAACTTACCTGTAATTGCTTTCTCTGTGTTGTTAAAGGTTGATGATTCTGTGGGTGTAAATGACATAGATGTAAGCCTGTACATCCCAAGAGATGTAGAAGAGACGGGTATCACTGTAGCCAGTCTTGAAAGATTCAGCATGTATGCTTCAGATAAAGATGGTAAGTATGCTTCCTTTTTCTGAGTTCCAAAGAGCTAGGAAACTTTTAGAGGGGGCTACACTGACTTGGGCAAACTCAGGTAGGTGTATGCAGGCTCTAGACTGGAAATGTGAACATTTAGCTGAATAAGAAAGGGAGTGGAAGCGGTAGAAAGGAATGGCTTACTGGATAGTGAAACTTGACTGAACTTCTTAGAAGGAGACCAAAAACAAGTTTAGAGATTACAGCTTTTTAATGTTATTCTCTAAAATTCTGTATAACTATTTGCAGACAGAAACACGCTGAAAGTTAACTAGTGTCACAATGAAGGAACTCAGGTAGTCAGAATGCATAGCGTAACAGTCTAGAACATACTGCACATGCCTTGTCGTAGAATGGACAAAAAGGGAGGTGCCTGTAAAACCCAGCCCTTCAGTAAAGGGTTAAAAGACTGAGTTTCAGGGGAGTGGGGAGTAGAATTACAGGTAATTTATTAGTTGCAGTTAGGGATTTACCAAGACATTGTGGAGCTAGGGAGAAGAAGACAAATGAGTACACACCAAATGTCAGAAGCAGTGTGGTCAAGGGGCCTGGGCTTTTTAGGATTTTCAAAATATGAATATGTGTCAAACAAAGAAAAAGGCTCTAGTAGAAGAAGAGAAAAAACATAATGAGGGAAAAGAAACAAGTCTTGGAAGTGTAAGTAACAATTGAGTGTGAGTATGGAAGGAAGGTGTTCTAGCGACTGTGTGGACATAAAGATTCAGGTTCATATCTAATTGTGCCTTGGGTAAGGAATCTGAAGACTGGCTTAGGAATACCTGCTGTGAGAGTAAAGCACAGAGGAATACTAATTAAGGCAAAAGCTGAAATAGAAAAAACTAATAAAACTGATTTTATTATGAAAATATGCAAATTGTAATTTAAAATAAGTGGTTTATTCTCCTGAGCTCCAAGATTGATAGCGATATGGGAACTAATTTCCTCTATAAGTTGGGATTTGGTGACAATATCTAAGGTTCTGATATTTAGGACCTTGTAGTCAGAAATGTTTATATTAACTAAAATTTTAAGTAAGGCTATTAAGTTGTCATTAATATAAATGTCATTGAACAAGAAGAGGCAGCATCTTTGGTTTCTCCTTTACACATAGCTGTATGCTAATGTTGCCTGGCACTCGGATCTTGTGTGGTACTAGAAACCAGACCCATATGAACCATAATTCCAGAGAAGGAAACTTCAGATAGATTATTACTGCTTTTTTTTTTCCTGAAAATTTTGGGGGTGGGGGGAGTCTTCAAGCCATAGCTGTCATTTGGTCCCCCCCCCTTGGCATTAGTAATAATTTGTTTCCTGAAGATAATGTGTCAAGATTAAAAGTGAGTTGAGGAAACTTACTTACCTGTAATTGTTTTCTCTGTGTTGTTAAAGGTTGATGATTCTGTGGGTGTAAATGACATAGATGTAAGCCTGTACATCCTAGCCTTTAGTCTAACAATATATGTGGGAATTAACTATTTCAGAACCAAATTACTAAGTCACAAAAGGAACCCAGGATTATAAACAATTGGATTTCGTAATAGACAAATAACTGGTACAAGTAAGCTCAGAAAGGGAAGGCCTGTCTTTGCTGCAGGAATTTCAGGGAAGTAATTCTAGGAAAGGAATGAAGGTACTAGACTCCTTTTGGTTGCTACTGGAGCACTGTCTTGTTTCTAGGCCTCACTGTTTCAGTTTCGTTTTGGTGTCTTGTTTTTGTTTTTAGAGAACAAATTAAGTGAAGCTTCTGGGGGTCGGGCTGAAAATGGTGAAAGAAGTGATTTGGACGAGGACAACGGAAGCGGGGCACAAGAAAATGGGTCCATCGATGCTGTTCCTGTTGATGAAAATCTGTTCACTGGGGAAGATCTGGATGAACTAGAAGAAGAATTAAACACACTTGATCTAGAGGAATGACACCAAACAAGCCAAGGAAGAAACTTAGGTCAGCTCACCGTGATCAACATGAACTGAAATTGACGTTAATTGTTCTACCACCTAGAATCAACAGGATGTTTACTTCCCTCCGGTGATTCTGGAGGACTGCTGTCCTCCAAAAAAGGAATACTCTCCCTGCGTCCTCTCTTCTGACTTTGACTACATCTCATAGTAAGTTCAGAGTAGTTGATGATAAATTGAAAGTGGTCATTACAGAAGATGGTTGTTGTTGTACCTGTCCACTCCTGTAGGAAGTGTAACTGCTTCTCCAGCTTTTGGTTTTCATTGGGCATGTGTAATTTCCAGCAAATTCATACTTACAATACTTTCCGTTTGATGCAGTTTTTAATGAGTGGTTTCCTTTCCTTTGTATTTATATGTTTAAAAGACTGCCTGAGGTGAGCACTGTACTTGATAAAGGAAACTGCATATGCAGGTTCAGTATTGTACATCTGGACAATTAGGTGGACACTGAGAATGGGACTTGTTCAACCTAACAAGGTCAGTTACAGTGCCCTGTGTTAAAGCTGTTTAAAGTTCTCCCCTTTTTTGCCAATAAAGTTGTAAATAAAAACCATCATACATCCAAATCCAACCATGGGCCTTTTTTTTTTTCTGTGAAGAGTTGCTTAACATTCCTAGCTTGGTATTTTAGTTAAATATTATGTTGGTTGTAGGTGTCAAGAGGCAAAGACTTAATGGATTTTCTTGGTGCATATTATATAACCATAGAGTACTGACAATGTTAACAGTTGTTATTTTTCATGTCAAAAAAGACAGTTCTGTTACTTTAGGTCCAGAATTGTTAGATCACCAACCTAATGAAATGCTTCCTTCAATTAAACCAAATACTTTCTTGGAATCAACATGACATACAGTTTGATTATTCTGTTTGCAGGAAGGTAACAAATTCACCAGAAAATTTAGGCCTAAGAATTTTGGTCATTGATGTCCCTTGAAAATTTAGAGTAATGGCACATTTTAAATAGACATTAGGTTTTTAATAGTATACTTAGTACTAGATAGTGATAATCATCATGGTATTGTTTTTATGGGGTTGGTTTATTTTCAAATGTGATTTTTAGAATGATTTTTTTAATTATCTAAGGAAATGAAATAGCATTAAAATATCAAGTGACCTAAGCCCTAACCTCTTTCCTGCCTCAGAGAAATTATATCTTAAGTTTCTGGGTTCTAGTTTTTTATCTACCTGTGAATGTTAATATTAGCCGTGGGACTAAGATGTAGCTCAGTATGAGAGTGCTTTCTTAGCATGTGCAGAAGACCCTAGTTCTAAAATTGGGCTTTAAAAACCTGTTTTCTAAAACTGCTTTCAAAATCTAACTTAAGGAAAAGATTGTATAGAGAAATTTGTTTTCTAGCTCTTGTCATAATTAACATTTTCAAATATAGGCTATAATGAACCAAATTTATTTCCCATCTACTTTTTGTATAAAAGTACTGTTTTATACTTTATATCTACAAAGTATTTCTTCCAGTCCTTTTGTGGAAAAGTTTAAAATTACTTTGTGAATTACTTAATAACAAAATATTTACAAAATAGTCTAAAGAATTCTCATTTTATATTGTTCACAGGACAGTCACTCTACATTAATGCAGTTAATCTGAAAGTGAGTGTGCTATTTCAAACTTAATTTTAAATAGTTTTTATTTCAAGTTTCTCTTACATAATCCTTACTGTGTGTAGAATACACATCTCTGTTTTCTAATTTCATTGTGTAACTACTTATTTTAAGAGATCTGGAGTTTAAAAACTCAGGAAGGTAAATATAAGCTTTCTACAAGAGAGGAAATATGTTTGTATTTCCATATGCTCTATTAAATGAGCTCTTTTCTCCTTACCTAAGTTGGGTGAGCCCACAGTGTAACCCCATGCTTGACAGAATCTAATTCAGAATCGTCTGAATTTTACCTTATCTCATAGTCTAAGTCCCACCATACAAGAGCTAATGAAAATTGTGTGATTATACAATATATATTTAAGTCATCCATCGGATGAGTTTTCAGTATGATAGTAATAAAACTGAGGATTCATGGGTTTATATGTATATCATTAAGAAAACCTTATAGCCAGCTCCAAACTTAAACACAAAATCAACAGGGGGCATTTGGGACAGAAGTAGGTAGATTATTGTGAATGTCTTGTTCATATCCAGGATAAACACTATGTATAGAGAATGTTATCACAGACTATAGACCTTCATACATCTCTCTGTTCAATATAGAACTATTCTGATATAAATAAACACTGTTAGGTAAATATTTCCAGGTACTTAGCTTGCTGTTGATATACTACAAACTCCATGTGTTTCAGTGAGTAAATTTCATAAAATAACAGAATTAAAAATGGACTACTGAAGTTGGGTGATGGTGGCCTATACTTTTAATCCCAGCACTCGTGAGGCAGAGGCAGGCGGATTAAAAAAAAAAAGGACTCTACCGAGTGAGTTCCAGGACAGGCTCCAAAACAATACAGAGAAACCCTGTCTCGAAAAACCAAAAAAAAAAAAAAAAAAAAAAGGACTACCAAAATCTTGTGTTTTGGAGTTTTTCAACCCTTAAGCATATATTCCTAATGATAACTTTGCTAAATAAAGATAATAGTTCTCAATTAGTAGAGATTAATAGAAACTTATTTTAAGTAACAAAAAATGTTTTTGTATCTTCAGTGATAAACCTGAATAAAACATTAGTACAGGGTATTTTTAATACTCCTTATGTTGTATATTTTCTCTTATATTATTAGTTTTTTGTTAATGTAGAAAGAAAAGGTGACTGTTTTTGTTCACCCAATTAATAGGTAATTTTATACATTTTTTTCACATAGACAACATCTTTTTGGTGCAGTATATATAGCCTGAACTGTCTAACCTTTTTGAACGTATTATCTCTGTGTTTTGGATATATAGTGTAGGAGGGAATGTCAGAAATAATGATAGTATATTGTTATTTTGCTTTTCTAATGACCTAGCCATTGATATGGATACTTTGCAAGTGAGTCTGTGATCAAACTTTGCAGTGACATTTTGGGGTTTTTTTTCTTGTTTTGTTTTTGTTTTAAATCATGGTCTTTAGGCCTTGGATTTGCACTGTAGCCAAGGGTAATCATGAACTCTCTTCCAAAGGATTGGGGCCACGGGAGTGGGCCACCATACTTAGCCCTTTGGTGGCTTTTTTGTTTTTCCCTTTTTAGATTTTATTATGATTTGTTGTTTGGGTGAGTAGGAGGGGTAATAATGGAGGTGTTCTTTGTGAAAATAACATGGTAGATACTTATCATGCAAGGGAATTTTGTGCCTGGTCCCAAAGACCAAAATCTCTGACAACTGATTCATTTTCAGAAGTATAGCAGACCTTCATGGAACTCACATACCAGGGCCTAATGTTCCTTAGTGCATCCAGTAAGCCTTGTCCTGTAATTCAAAGACAGTAAAGTCTGGAGATGTGCCTCAGTGCTCCAGGGCTTGCCTGGCATGGACAACGCCCTGGGTTCAGTCCCTATCTAGCTGGATGGTTCTGGGGAAGACCATTGTAAGTTATACCTTAGTTTCCTTCCAAAGGTGCAGCTGTGTTTGTTTTGAAGACAAGGTTTCTGTATAACAGTCCTGGCTGTCCTAGAACTCACATCGTAGAACAGGCTGGCCTTGAACTGACTGAGATCTGCCTGCCTCTGCCTTCCCAGTGCTGGAATTAAAGGTGTACACCACCACCCACCTGGCCTGTAGCTGTGTTTCATTAACTCTAAGAATGTTGAATTGTACTTTTACGTCTTAGGAAACTATTCTAGTGACAAGGTTGTCATTGTGATTTCTAATAGTATATGCTTTCAGAACAACCTTTATTGTGTACAGAAATGTATCAGAGAATGTTTAATTAGGGCTATTTCAGCATTTGAAACTTCAGAAGCTACAAACATACTATGTGATAATATGCACTGACTTTAGATGTCTTTAGGAGTGGAATCTTCACACCGCAAATAACCAGGGAAAGGATAAACCTGAGCAGGTATACCTGGTTTGGTCAGTAGTTTTGTGATTTAACATTTGAACAGTTAAATATGTGGAGCTAGGTGTGGTAATTACCCACCTTACCCCACTTGGTTGACTGCTAAGAACTATAAGGTGTTCCTCGATGTCTGGTTATCCACAATAGAGGGAGAGGGTTAGGGGTTGATTGGTTGGTTTTAACTTATTTTAATTGAAAAATAGTATAATAGTTATGTATGTTTTTGGTTTGTTAACTTTTTTATACTAGAGACCCACCTCCAACCCCTCCTGGGAAGGAAAGTAATTGTTCAATGGTTTTGGCATGTTTAGTGTGTAAAACTGAAAAAAGTGTAACTTAATTTGAGCTGATTGTTCCAATTTTTAGTGCATTCGCTCATGTTTCCCCCAAAGCAATTTTCTAACTGAAAGGACAAAGAACCAGCTATCTGAAATGCAACTTGATGGAACTAGGTATGGTGGCCCACACCTGTGACACTTATGAGGCTGAGAGGGAGGGGTCTAGGCCAGCCTAGACTACATAACAAGGCCGTGTCTTAAAAAGTTTTAAAAATAAATGCGGCCTCGAGACCATGTAGATTTTATAGGAGGTCATAGACATATCCTGACATCTACTCGGCCCTTGTGCTCTCCAAAAGGGTGTTTTGTTTCCCTTCCCTTTCCTCCCTCTAAACCATCCCATTCTCCTTCAAAGGCATGGCTTCTGTTTTCAGAGAGAGAGAGAGAATTCCTACTTACAGCCTTCTCAGTCCTCTTCTTTGATTTTTTTTGAGACAGGGTTTCTCTGTAGCTTTGGAGGCTTTCCTGGAACTCACTGTGTAGACCAGACTGGCCTCAAACCCACAGAGATCCACCTGCCCCTGCCTCCCAAGTGCTGGGATTAAAGGCGTGTGCCACCACCACCTTAGTTTTATAAATGTAAAATTATGACCCGTGAAAGATGACACTTTTATTTTTTAAAAAAAGGTACAAATAGTAGAGGTACTAATACAGCTGAATTATCCATAAAGTGAAAACAGGTGAGCGAGGGTCTCCTGTTTATAAGACCAGAAGGGCATTCACAGGGACAGCAGTTTAATAACATGCTAATATTCATATACCTCTGTGTCCATATGTAGCATGCTACTGTATAGAAAAATGCAAGTCAACTTTTTTTTATTAAAAAATGTGTTTTCTAGGGCTGGAGAAATGACTTGGTGGTTAAGAGCATTTGTCTTGTAGAGTATGCAGGTTTGGTTCCCAGCGCCCACATTATGAGTCACAACTCCAGCCTGGGGATGTGACTCCTTGTGACTTCTGCGGGCATTAGTGTGCATGTGGTACATATGCATGCATGTGTACAGAACACTTACCCACATAAATAAATCATTTGGGGGTGGGGTTCAAGACGAGTTTCTCTTTGTATCTCTGACTGTCCTGGAACTCACTCTGTAAACCAGGCTGGCCTCAAGAGAGCCACCTACTTCCACTTCCCTAATGCTAGGATTAAGGCGTGCACCAGCACTGCCCAGCTAAGATTCTTTAATAATACATTATGTGAAGTGCCATTACTGTGTTCCCTGAAA